GTGAACAGCAAGTTGGCCAGTGTAGTTGGATTGTAAAGTATGCAAAGTGGGGGAGGGAAGGATAAGAAAACTAGAAAGACAGAAAGGAGCCAGGTTGTGAAGAGTTTTAAATGATAGAGTCCTTTATATTTGATCTTGAGGTAACAGAGAGTCACTGAATTTTATTGAGTATGTGTGTGTGTGTGGGGGGGCTCACAATAACATGCTCAGACCTACATTAGCAAAATCACTTTGGAAGTACAGTGAATGGATGAGAATGAGAGGTAGAAAGACAACCACAAAGCTATTACAATAGTTAAGACATGAGGGCAATGAGGGCCAGCACCCAGGTACACACCCAGGTGTGAAGGGAAAGGAAGATACATGTGAAGGTAGAAATGACGGAGACTTAGTAAGAGACTGGATATGTATAGTAGCTTTCTTTGCGGAGGCAAAGAACCAGAAATTGAGGTGAAACCTATCAGTTGGGGAATGGCTAAACAAGTTGTGGTATCTGATTGTGATGGAATACTACTGTGATGTGAGAAATAAGCTGGTTGATTTTAGAAAAACATGGAAAGACTTGCATGAAATAATGAAAAGTGAAGTCAGCAGAACCAAGAGAACATTGTATACAGTAACAGTAATATTAACAAACAAATTATTCTGAGTACTATACAAACTCAAATCAACTACAAAGGACCTATGAAGGAAGATGCTATCCACTTCCAGAGAAAAAACTGATAAACAGAAGTATTCAAAGTATGATATCACATATATTTATAAATCTGCATCAACTGGTGGCCTTCTCTGGTGTGGAGTGTGGAGGAAAGGAGGAAGGAAGGCAATTTGGAACTTAAAATGTAACAAAAATAAATAAATAAAAAAATTTAAAACCCCAAGAGACTGAATAACTAGATAAGTGCAAATGAGAAGTCATGGTTGTCCCTGAGGTTTGTGATCATGGGTAATTAGGAAGACAGTGGTACCCTTCAGAGTAACAAGAAAGTTGGGAAAAGGGGAGAGTTTGGAGGGAAAGATGAGTTCTGTTTTGGAAATGTTGAGTTTGAAATACCTTTGGGCCATTCAATTCAAGACGTCCAAAAGGTGATAAGGCTGGAGCTCAGGAGAAAGATTAGGGCTAGATACATATATCTAGGAATCATTTGCATATAGACAACAATTTAAACCGTGGGAACTTATAAGATCACAAAGTGAAATTGTACAGAAGAGGAAGAGGTTTCAGGGCAGAATTTTGGGGGATAACCACAATTAGTGGATGTGACCTGGATGAAGATCCAAAAAAGAATACTAAGAAGTCAGACAGATAGGAGTGTAAAACATTGCAAAAACCTAGAGAGAAGCCAGGATCATCCAAGAAAAAAAGAATAATTAAAAGCTGTAGAGAGGTCAAAAAAGATTGAGGTTTAAGAAAAAGCCAGAGATCTGGCAATTAAGAGATCACTGCTAACTTTGGAGAAAGAAGTTTCAGTCAAATGATGAATTTGGAAGCCAGACTGCAGAGCGTGTAGATAGCAAGAGAAGAGGAAGTAGAGGCACCAACACGGCTTTTTTAAAAAGTTTAACTGAGAAAGGGAGAAGAGGTATAAGATGATGATTTGGGGGAAGGATATAAGATCAAATGATTGATTTTTAAGGAGAAAGGAGATGTGGATGTGTTTGGAAGCATCAAGGAAGGAGCCAGTAGAGTGAAAGATTGAAATAAATTAGAGAGGGAGCGGGCATGATAATAGGGGCAATGTGTTGGAGAAAATGGAATGGGATCAGATACATATATAAGTATTACCCTTGTTAAAGAGAAAGACCATTTCTTTTGAGAAAGGCACTGAAGGAGGAGAGAGTGGGGAAAGACATCTGAGATGTGAGAAATAATGACCTGGTTGATTTTAGAAAAACATGGAATGACTTATATGAAATAATGAAAAGTGAAGTCAGCAGAACCACTTCTTCTGAGAAAGGTATTCTGTAATATACTCCAGAAAAAAACCTCTTTTTTTTGCCTCCACTGACCACCACTCAAATGCTCTCCAATAAGCTTCCAAACTCTGGTTCTTGGATTTCTTCACAAAACATTCCTTCTTAATATATAATGCTATTTACCCCCCACCCCCACTCTTCCCCATCTTATTTCTTTTGAATTAAGTACAGTCAGTTCTGTTGTAACTTGATATGCTCATTCCTAAAAATCACCAAGCCTTGCAAAATCTCACAATAAAAAGCAGTTTATAGGGAGAACATGGTTGAGGCACAACACTCAAAAACTTTTATCAGTGACACATAGACGAAAAGATAGGAACCTAATGAAAACAGTAGTATAGTTTTATACATATCAAATGGTTAAGAAATACATAAATATTATAATAGTAACAGTAGAACAGTCTGCAACTTGCTATTCCCTGTCATTCCCAGAGGGCCCACGGTAGTAAAGTTGAGTTGCTGAGGGCAAGAGAGAAGCCTTGGTGGGTCTAAATTCCAAGGTTGGTGGAGGATGGGAGTGTGGGCTTATCCTGGTGGTAGAGGGTGGAGTTGGGAAGAGAATGGGGTGGACCAGCTCTCAGTCCACAGTTCCTATTGCACCAGAAGACAACATTTATCACATTACCTCGAATAAGACCTGGTTTGTGGAGGTGTGCATCAGGAAAGGCTGCAGCTTGTGAAGTTTTCTATGTTTTCTTGCTGTCTCTTGAGGATGGAATGTAAGCAAACACAAAATTCAGTTTATGCTTAAATTGTTCCCGAATATGTTGATCAGGTTGGAACAAATTCACATTTTTAAAACAAGCATTATAGTAGAACTGACTGTAAATTGATCCAAGCAATATACAATTCTAGTCACGAGGTTTCATTCCAAGTCTTAGTGATATCTGAGGTCACATTTGCCCCCCTTGTATTAGAGTATCTTTTTCTCCTTGTTTCTTAAACTTTGTTATCTGTGTAAAGACATCTGAGTCCAAGGGTTTTTTGTTTCTAATTCATTTCTTGAATTTTTCCTCCAGTGAATCAATGGGTGTTTGAATAGTAATTCTTCATTATAACTACTCTTTTTGGTATCTAACTTGGATACACATATACAGTCTCATTCTTATTTTAATTCCTTTCAATTTGATTTGCAAGACACTTGTCAAGTACATCCTTGCCAGGCTTTGTTAGATTCTACTCCACCCCTCGCCAGGAACCTGTGGTCCAGAAGCCCAAATCCTATCTTCGTGCACCACTTTCTTAGCTAGCTGTTTATTTCCCAAATCAGTTCTTCTCTTATGCATCCCTTGCCTTCAGTGGATAAATGAGGAAGACAACCTGTGCACTACCTTGGTATTGTTTCTTGTCCAACACCTCCTAATTTTTGGTAATACTTCTTAGATTCCTTCTGGCATTATCATTTGCGCCCAAATTTATTACTATAAGTAGGTAGCAGCCATCTATTCGGGCAAGTCTTGGTGGGTTCTCTATTATTTTTTAGATACTTCCTCCCAAGGAAGGTAACAAAACTAACTGTTATTAGGGCTACAAACAGGTGACCACCACTTCTCAGTCTTTTGATTCTTATCAAATGATTTCTCAGCTAATAGCTTCTGTGCTTCTACTACAACATTCTTTGGAAGACAAGCAGTTGTTTCCCTTTTACAGCATCCAGCTCCCTCTGCTTCTGGAAGGGTTTCAAATTTATTTTTTTAAGCTCTAAATATATCTCTCCATGTAATATTCTAGTGGGTTTAAGTTTCTCTACCAGGAGGTGGGTAGCATGTTTATATCCTTTGTAGCTACCGTTGTCACTGTATCAGTTTCAGTTGTTATTTCTTTTAGTCTCTGTATAAATCATTCTGGTTCTGTTTATTTCTTGGCATCATCTGTTCTTGCTTTTCCACAATTCTCCACATCCATTCCTTTCATCATTTATGGCTTAATAATATTTCATTTCATTCAAAAAGCCATTTCTCAATTGATTAAAAAAACCCCCTTTCTTTTCTAGTTCTTTGCTGTAGCAAGAGTGGTGCTACAACTGTTTTTTGTACACACGGGTCCTTTCCTTTTGTTTCTGATCCTTGAGTGATGTATCACTGGGTCAAAAGGCACATGTGCTTTATCGATTTTGGGGGCAGAGTTCCAAAGCTCTCCAGAATGGTTGGACTATTTCATAGCTTCAACAATGCATTAGTGTGCCTGCTCTCCCACATCCTCTCCAACAATGATTTTCCTTTTTTGTCATTTATGCCAAACTGATGGGCGAGGTGGAACGGCTAATTGTTCTAATAATGGTCTAAAGCATTTTTTTTTCCCGGATGGCTTATAGCTTCAATCTATCTGACCAACTTATGCCAACAACCAGCAGTCTTTCAATTCGCTTTACTCTCCAACTGTTTTACTTATCTTTTCTGACTTTGTCTAGCTAACTCTTATCTCCTTAGCTTTCTTCCTCTTTAGGTTCTTAATTCCTGTTCCTTCCCCTTTCTCTCACAGACCAGTATCTGGAACTAGTTTGCTCTTCAAATTTTCCTAATTTCTCCTCTCCAAATTCAGTCTCTGGCTTTGTTTACTAGATCAATGCCATCCCCCATACAATTTCTCCTTATTCAACTTATCCCTTTCATGAAGCCAGAAGTGGAATCCTCAGCCTTTTCTCCTTAAGGTAATCTGTTTCTGATCAGGGACTGATTGGCAAATACATGAATGTGCAAAACATGAACAATTTGGGTTTAGTAAAATTTTTTCCAAAGGTTCTGTGCATAGAAATGACTCCGAGTTCTTCTTAGTTATGCTTGGATTCAACAAGCTCTGGCAGTTGCTACTAAGCTGGAGACTCACCTAGCTAAAGTCCAGAAAGACATTTCACCAAAGGGTTCTCAGGTGAGAAATTATTTTAATCAGAATAATTTGTGAAATCATTTATCTTCCGAGGTTCAGAAGGAGTACAGGTCATTGGAAGAGGCACTGAAGAATTCACAAATCTTTTAAATATAAATTTAACCCACTTTGGTATTAATACCACAAGACAATTTAAGGAATTTTAGTACTTTTTATTCAGCAGTCAAACGAGGGTATATTTCAAATAAGCATTTTGTGCCATATCCAACGCCAGTTCAACAGACTAAGATTCCCTCCCACAAAACTGTCATTTATTTGGTCTGTCTGCAACCGTCTGCATAATAAATAAGAACTGCTACAAATGTTCAAAATTCCAGCATATAAAACCGAGCAACAAGTATCTCAAAATAGTCATGACCTTAAAACAAATTTCTCAGAAAAAATACAACACAAGATTAAGCTTCTGCAATATTATTTCCATATAAAACACTAGTAAAATATTTTTCTTAAAAATTAAATAATGAAATACCAAACCAATTATATACAGTACACACGAATGAGTCAAAACATCCAATTCTTGGTCTCTCTGGTGGCAAAAAGAGAAGTTCTATCACATTTTGTGGCACTAGAAAGCAATTCAGTCAAGACCCCTGACTCATGAAGCATTCAGTGAGAAAATGTTGACAGCCCCACACTTGACCTTAAGTGAACAGGTTTGACTGAAGTCTCCAAGAAGAGATCTTATGTTTACTTCAGTGGGTAGAAAATTAAAACTTTTTTTCTCCCCTGACACCGCAGCCAATGTTGTCTTTTAGGTTCACTGCTCCTAGCTCAGAGATAGCTATTTGAGAATAATGCTCTGCTTAGTACATGGTAATTTGTCCATTTGAAAGAGGTCCCCCTTTGAATCGTCTCCCTAGTTCACTTTAGCATTTGCTTTACTATGATAAAAAAAAAATATGTTTGATCCTACAACTGGTTTCAGATACCAAATCAAGGAAAACTGGTAAGAACCTAAAGGGTCAGCACATCTTTAAGAAATGAATTTTGACTTCAAAATCACAAAGATACATAAATAATCTTTCTATATGTATATCATCACAAAAGTCCTTAAGTACACACTTGCAAAGCTACCATTTTACCTTGGGAAATCTGAGAATCAGCTAGAATGCTCAACAAATATCCTACTGCCACCAAGGTAAGCCAGATTCTTTTCTGTATTCCTAGCAAGTATAGGATACACTTCTCAGCCTCTTCTCTCATGCTAATCTTTTCACGCTCCTTTCCCAATGATTAGCAAAAATGACAATATGTACCACCTGAACAATGTGTCCTTTAATAAAAACTTGTCAAAAATTCCTTCCACTAAAGTAAACATCAATTTTTTTTGTTTCCTTCTTATTCTTCTGCAAGTTATTAGCAATGGCCTGTCTATGTTCTTCGACGTTTGGCTGCACTTGGACTAGAGGGATTGCTGTTTGCATTTAAGACCTTTTCTGTGACCCGGTTGCGTTTCCTCTTGTCTGCACCTTCTTTAGATCCAGATTCTGATGAGCTCTTTTCTTTCTCTTTGCCACTGGACTTTTCAGCTCCTTTCCCCAAATTTCCTGAAGATGTAAAAACTGAGAAACAGAATTATTTTTGCTATTTCATTAACCATGAAATTGAAGTTTTTGAAAATATTTAGTATTTTAAAAAATTTCTTTCATATTTCAAGTGACCCTTATTACAATTAACATAGCTGCACATATAATATTCAGGAAATCTTAATGTTCCCTGATCCCTTCTCCGTCTCTCACTCTTGCTAAGCCATACTATATTCATACACTCTACTGAAGAATATGCCTGTCACTTTTAGTCTGAAAAAAATCTCAAGGTTATCCAACATTTTGGTATGAACATCATTGTCAGTTATCAACTAGCTATCCAGATCTTAACAGGGATTTTGCTGTACTGAATATTTCCACATTAAGTAGAGCCATTACTTGGCATCTATAAACATTTCTCTTACATAAAGAATTTCATTTTAAATATTTATTGTAATAGGATTTGATTGGAAGTAGACTTTAAACACATAACCCATGGCTAGTAGTATCAGCAAGTCATTCTTTACATTTACTTTTATATTAGCCCGTTCTTCTCCCCCACCCCATCTCCCCCAACATCACTACTAAAATATAAGAACCTGGTCAGTATAACACTACTGCAGAGCTAAGAGAAAACTATTAGCACTACTAAGAAGCTGCTCCCTTCAAGTCTTCTTTTGATGTCTCATCATAGCATCAAAATGATACTAGTTTTGTGAAAGCTGCTCCAAGGGGAGTGCAAGCTCTGTAAGGTTCTTAGCTGCCGGCCTTGAAAAGCCTTAACGAGGAAGCTGGCATTGAACTGATTGTGTACTTATCACCTGAGTACCAGTCTACCTATGTTTGGAAGGGCTCAATGATAAGTTGGCTGTGCCATTATACTACCACAGATCCTTGAATTATTTTTTTTAAAAGACACCTCTTTACAGTAAACAAAGATTCATTAGCAGTTGGAACTTATTCTCCAGATGACAATTTAAGACTGATGGGGGAAAAAAGACTAAGAGGTCAAATACTGATGCCAAACTGCTGAGCTGAATCTATTTTAAGTGATACAGCCTCCTGGATAAACCAGGTGAATGTGGTATGGCACAGTTTACATAATTACCATCTTCAGTACCAGTGTGTGGATCCACTTCTTCCTTTATTTCTTCCTTCACCTCATCTTCAATCATTACTTTTCCTGTAAAAAGAGTAAGTAAAAAAATTCACTGAGAATGTACTGTGAGAACTGATCTCTGTCCTGGGGGGTCTTAAAAGTTAATGGGGGAGACAAAGACAGACAAAGATCAAACACAATGATAACTACTGAGAGCTATACTTAAATTCCAAAGAAGTTCCCTAGAAAAACTTGAGTGGTACTACTTAAAGAGGTCCTATTTTTTTTAAACAAACAAAATCAGCTCATTCTTGAGCAACAGAAGTAATTTTCTAAAAGAAAACTAATATGAATGCAAGCTCTGTATCTATAAGGTCTGTCTTTAGAAGTGACAATAAATCATAGCAACTGTTACTATTTAGTTGCATTTTTATTGGGAACCAAGCAATTCTTGTAGGCTAGTGATAAGGATGAATGGCTTTAGGCTGGCCTGTTATACTTGGTCAAGAGCTTATCAATGTATAATATTCTTATCTAATCTTGGTAGAGACTTAACCCTGGAATTGATTCTTACCTTCTTTGACCTCTTGAATAATTTCTTCAGGAAGGATGAAGTTCTTCTCTGAATTAGGGAATGGAAGAATCTCAGACTCATGCTGAACATCAAATAAAGTACAGTTTTGTTTTTTAAAGAAACAAAGAAAAAAGCTGTCAATTTGGGCATATAATTCAAAATCTTTAAGAAAATGCCACCACTATTTAGTGTAAATACAACTAAAAGCCATTTACTGCTGATTTCAGTAGTATGAAAGTAATCTGTCATGAGCTGTGCATATTTTAAAATACTTATTTGCTTATCCACTTGAAACATGGATTTTAAAAAACACAAGGTATCCAGAAGAGGAAAAAAGGGACTAAAAAAAAGCTACAGAAAAAAACAAATTGAAGCTGTCTTTAAATATATTAAAAATATATTAAAAGTTATAAGGACACCACCCAGTTTCCTTTTGTAACTTCAGAGGCAAAACTGGTTTTAATTGCAGCAAGACTTTGTATCAGGATAAGTTTCTTGCCTACATATTCTACCATACCAAGAGAAACTGGTCAAAGCCAACAAAGTTCAGAGAAATGAGATAGAATGTCAATGCAAAGGGTTGGGGGCACCTATTCTCCAAATGCGCAATAACCAAAAACATTTGAGGAACTGTTGGCAGAGAGCATTGATGGATAAAAACTGGGAGGAAAAAAATACATATAGCAAACCTTAATTAAAAGAGGGATAGGAGAAGTGATCATAAATATCATGGGACAAAGAACAGGAATAAATGTGAACATGTATACGTGCCAAGAAGCATGAGCAGGTGATCTAATCAGAGATTGCAGAACACAGTGAATGAGTAAAGAAAAGGAGGAAACAAAAGAATTAAACCTCAGTTTGTTAAATAAACAGGATTTGCAAAGAAACTTACATGGTAAAGGAATTCATATGAGAAAAGTATTTTCAATGTTGCTTTCTACTCCTCTCCCATTTTGGTGAGCTAGGGTCTAGTAAGGAGCTGGGATTAGCACCCAGGAAAACTGAAGTTGGCTACTCAATGGACCTGGATTCAAATCCTGGCTCGATGTTTACTAGCTGTGTGATCATGGACAAGTAGCTTCTCTGAGCTTCATTTTCCTCACTATTTTCCCTCAAAAGGATAAATATTTGCACTATCTACCTCATAGGAAGATTTTAAGGAATGACTGATGATAAACCTTAACATACTATTAAAGATGTAAATTTTTTTGTTGTTCCCACTTCCTATAAGGTAGTCAGTCCTTCTACTACAGCCTGCTTGTTATCTGCCTCTTTCATAAATGTACAGAAAAAAGTGAATTGTTAACTCAAAGAATTTCACTCAACAAGTATATGTTATGCCCCTACTCTCTGCCAGGGACTGGGGATACAAAACAAATGGAAAAAGTCCTTGCCTTCAAGGAGGTTATGTTTTACTATAGATAATACATTTAAACAGATGACTACATATAGCTAAGCCAGACTTATGAACAGCACAAATATTGCTTTGTGATTTAGACAGCAAATCAGGTAAATAAAACGTCTTCATAATACTCAACACTTATCACAGATTCTATAGTTGCTGTGCTTATAATGTTCAAATATTCAATTTGGCCTGTGGGAAACTCCATCTACTTTTCCCCTTTTATTGATATTGGCCTATCACTAGTTCACTCAGCTGAATGGACAGCATATACCTAATAAAAGATTTTCCACAAACATGGTATGAACCAGGTCAAGAAAAGGGTACGGCATAATGTTTAAAAAGACCACCAGTTAAGTACTGCCATAGCTTCCAGAATAAAGAACCTAGCTACATAATGGCATACTGAAGCAGGTTATATAAACGTCACTGGCCTGTAGGATGCTAGGATCTGGCAATCAACCAAATGAAGGAATCCCAATTGAAGGAAGACAAGGGGTATCCTTATTAACATCACTCAACAGGTCAATGGCTTTTCAACACCCTATTATTTTCAGTCCCTAAAAAAATCTTTTGGGATTCAAAGATTACCTCGTTCCTCACTTTCTGAGGTCAGGAACTTAAATAAGAGCTTAACTGAGACACAAAACATTTTGTTTTTATTCACATTTTAACCTCACACAACCTCTGAGGCAGGAGTGCAAGTATTATCTCTCTTTTGCAGATGAAGAAAATGCAGCTCAGTAAATGTCAGAGTCCAGACTTAAACCAAGATCTTTTTATTCAACCCATGTTCTTTTCACTGCCTCATACCTGAACATCTTGGGATTCCATCTGGGTCAGCCTGTTTGGCTCATTACAATAGACTGTTCCATTGCAGTCCATATTCATCTAAGAGAGGAAAGGGGAGTACTGAGACAATTCTCTGAAAACTGTGAAGTTTTTTTCTTTTCTTTTTTTTTTTTAGGCAGTTGGGGTTAAGTGACTTGCCCAGGGTCACACAGCTAGTGTCAAGTGTTTGGTCTGAGGCCGCATTTGAACTGAGGTCCTCCTGACTTCAGGGTTGGTGCCATATCCACTGCGCCACCTAGCTGCCCCTAAACCTGTGAAGTTTTGATTTCCTTCCAGTAATTGAATTTGTGCAGATTTTTAGAAATTATGGACCATCAGCTTAGCACAGTGGAAAGAGGGCTCAGGAACACTGGGTTTTTAGTCTTGTTTTTGCCACTAACTAGCTGTACAACTTTCAGCAAATTCCTTTTCCTTTGTGGGTCTCAGTTCTCTCATCTGTAAAATGAGGATGCAAGATGATCTTTAAGGCCCCCTTCAAATTCTAACAATCTATTAATGGGTTCCAGCTAGCTGAGTTCAACTTCAAAAATTTTACTGTTTTAGCAACTATCCCCCTAATTATTTTAGGCAGTATTTCCACATACCCTATTTGCTTATTGCCAGGCATTCCTGTTTAAAAGTTTCCTTAGTTTGTGGGAATCATTGGGAGAACAGAATTAAATCCTCTCATTTTTACTTATAGCCCAACACTGTGCTGGAACTCACTCCTTACCAATGCTTGCATATCGTACATAGTACTTAAATGGTCCCAGATGACTTTGGAGGAGATCTGCCTCCCTATGTTCTGACTGAACTTGTCCCTGATGCAGATCATGTGGAAGTGCCGGTTCACACCTGTAAGAGGGGAAAACTGTTCATGAAATTCCACCTGTTGCTGACTCGAATATTCTTCCTTTTTTTGGGGGGCGGGGAGGAGAATTTTCATTTTACAACACAAGGAAAATGGCAGAACACAAACCTATAAAAACAACGGCTTTTCCCTCTGTTTCAGGAATGTTAGTTTTGTTTTCTTGGCTATAATTATGCTCAAGCACAGTAAGTATTCTCTCCCAAACTCCCTGACTTCATCCACACCAGCCAGTACATAGAGGTGCTCAATAAATCCTGGCTGAACTTAAGTCCTAAAACCAAGTGTAGGTTCCGAAAGGAGAAGAGCCCCAAATACTTAAAAACAAACACCACTACTCTCTCTCCTCCTCCTCCCCCCTCCCGCCCGTCCCCAACACAAGAAGGCTGGCCTGCGCTCAGGTTTTCCCATAAGGTTCCACCATGAGGGGCAATCCGCACTCCTCCCCCTCCCCAAGTTCCTAAAAAGAGATCGACACACACATCCTCCCTGGACTGGGAAAAGGAAAGGAAGAGGGAAAGGCGGGGGGGGGGCCGGGGGAAGCAGAGAGGGAAGACAAGGAGGAGACTCGGGGTTAGAGGGGTAGAAGCCCCGGGCCGGGGTGGAGAAAGTGGGGGGAAGGGCAGGGATGGAAAGGGGAAGAAGTTGAGGGGGACTGGGGTTCGGAGGGAGAAGCTGGGGGGATGGGAAGAGGGAGAAGCTGGGGGGGATGGGAAAAGAGTGAAGCTGGGGGGATGGGAAAAGGGTGAAGCTGGGGGATGGGGAGACGGAAAAGCTGGGGGGATGGGAAGACGGAGACGCTGGGGGGGATGGGAAGATGGAGAAGCTGGGGGGGACGGGAAGACGGAAAACCTGGGGAGGGGCGCGGAGGGGAGAGGAGGAGAAGCTCGGGGAGCTGGGGATGGGAGAGGGGAGAAGCTGTGGGTCAGGGATAAAAGGGGGGAGAAGACCGGGGGCTGGGGGCAGGAGACGGAGGGAGGAGAGCTCCCCGGGCAGCTTCCTAGAGGCAGGGAAGTGAGAGACAGACCCGCCCCTCCCGCCGGCCTCAGCCCCGGCCCAACGCCCGGCCGCGGCCGGTACTCCAGGCCGCGGCTCCGGCCGGGCCTAGGCTGCGCTGCTCTCCTCTCCGAGTGCTCCACCCTCCCTCCTCGCCCTCCCTCACCGACGGGCTTGTGTCCCAGCATGGCATGGAAGAGGCACACTTCCACCTCGGGGCTCCACACCACGACGTCCTCGGGCGGGCCCGGCGCCGACTCCACGGGACCCTTCTCACCACTACCGCCAGGGCCCGGGCCAGAACCAGGGCCGCCTCCCCCGCCCCCGCCGCTGCTGCTGCCACCTCCGCCGCCCGAGCCAGGGCCACCGCCGCCGCCGCCGCCGCCGCCGCCCCCGCCGCTTCCGCCGGTGGCAACCTCGGCTTCCCCCATAGCTCGGTCCGGACTAAGAGAGCAGCGCAGCTGCGGAGCGCTGCGCGCGCGGCCCCGGCGCCCCCTGGCGGCCGCTCTGCGCCGTGCGCGCCCCCGCCCCTGCGCCCCCGGGGCCGCGCCTCCCTGGCCCTGGCCCCCAGAGATCGCCGCGTTAGCCTGCTCCTGGCTGCTTTCGCCGTCGCCCCTTGGCCCGGCCGTGCCCGTGCCCGTGCCCGTATCCGTATCCGTACCCCGTGCGTTGGGGCACGGGCTCCTGTGGCCCGGACATGTTTCCTTCCCCGGCCGACAACTGCACTCGGCCTTTCCTGCGCTTTAGTTTCCCCAGCAGGAAATTCCCATTTAAAAACCTCGGTTTAAACTAGACTAAGAGAAGAAAACCCTGTTGTGAGCATTTATGAGGCTCTGCGGAAGTGGTGGTGGGTGGTGTGGGTGTAACAATCCTATTATTACCTTGGATGAGAATCAGTCCCTGATTAAAAAAAAAAAGCTGCAATATTATTCCCCCAGCATTATTCCTAGGGCAGTCATTAGTAGAAATGACCAGTGGGGAGAGTGGTGCATAGGTTTTAGAGCTGTTGAGAATCACAGAGATCACCTCCTAGTGCAATCGCTAACTTTGCGAATGAGAGAACAGGGTCAGAAAGGTTTAAGTGATTTGCCCAAGGTCCACACGAACTAGTCCCTGAGCTCGGGTCTTCTGATTCACAAACCAGTTCTCGCTTGACCCTATTCTTTCTAAACAATACTGCTAAAACCTTTCCTCACTTAGTAACCCATACAGAGCTTAATTGCATTGGAGGAGTAAAAGACGTCTCAGCCTTTGGTGTGTAAGAAATCCCTCCTTCCCCAGGCGCTGAGTACTGGGAGATATGAGATAAGGCTAATAGAAATGCAGAGAGAGCTGACGCCCAGGTGTTCAGCATTGCCATTTTATGTGGCTAGGTCTGCAAACCTAGGTGTGGAGTCATCATCAATAACAGTGTAACCCTTAGCAAGTCGCTTAACCTGTAAGTGTCCCAGACCAATAAGACCACATAATGCTGTTAGTACTGATTTGGAAAGAAGTCCTTCCCCCAGAGGTTCCTATATACATGAAATCATAGGAATTAAAAAAAAAATACCATGTCTTGGGCTAAGAGGAGACAGTGGTTAGGAGATTATTTTAATCAAGCGGCTTGTCTCACTTAGGCTAGTACATAGCAAGTAAAAACCTATGTCCGCAAAAATCTCTTGCAAAGTAGTTATGTTATAGCCTGAATTTGGTTTCAGCATCTCGTATTAGAAAATGCCAATTTACAAAACAGGTAAATTGGGAAGGTTACAATTAAACTCACTGAAGGAGTTCCCTAATTAGTTGTTAACTGATGTTTAAGTGTAGGGTGGGACATGTTGATGTTCAGAGAGCTTAACCTGTGTGTGCTCTGAACCCCTTTGGCAGTCTTCAGATGCCTATAGATCCTATATCAGAATAATGTTTTTAAATAAAAGAGAGGATTATGATATGATTATGGACCCCAAGTCAAAAACCGACTAAATTGATTAAGCTGAGGCAATCAATTGGTTGAATCAGAAATGAAGACAAACTATCTCCTGAGATGTTAATGTAATGAAATTCATTTCACTTGAACAAAAACATATTAAGGCTTTGCCTTAATTCTAAGGGAGAATACTTAAAGTTTAGATAAGAGGAGGTTAATTCTCCCATGAAGTTAGAAGTCTAATGAGGTATATATATGAATGGAGTCAGCAATACAACCAATAGTGAGTGAATTGAAAGCATTTATTAACCATTTAGTATGTACCAAACAACTGTTAAACCCTGGAGATACAATTACTAAGGCAAAACAATCCCCACCTTCAAGAAGTTTTCTTTATAAACATTTACTAAACATCTACTATGTGTCAGACATCGTTCATGGTGTGAGGATACAAAAACAAAAATGAAACATTCCCTGCCCTCAAGGAGCTTCCATTCTGTCAGAAGAGACTTGTTTAAGTATATGTGACATAGAGAAACAAAAACAATGTAACCTTGAGTGGGAAGGCACTAGCAGTTGAAAGGACCAGGTTAAGATTCCTGCAGAAAATAGCACTTAAACTCAGTCAAAGAAACATGTATGAAGAAAAGTAGTCCAATAAGGCTGTACTGCAGTGTTCATGGAGAGGAGTAATGGGTAAGGAGATGATGACAGAGATAGGAAGGTGCTAGCAGTTTATATTTAGTCCTAGAGGTGACAGGGAACCTTTGTCATTTATTGACTAGTGATGTGACAGGGTTAGATACATGCTTTAGGAAAATCATTTTTTGTGGCCATGTGGAAAAGGGATTGAAGTGGAGAGAGGCTTAGGGAAGGGGGACCAGTTTGGATGCTATTGCAATGGGCTAGATGATGAGGACCTGAATTGGGGTGTTGGAGAAGGGGATTATGCAAGAAATATTGTGGAGACAGAAATGGCAAAATCTGGCAACTGATTGGATAGGTGGTCCGAGTAAGAGTCAAGGATGACATTGAGGTTGGGAAGCTGGATGAATGGAAGGATGGTGGTACCCTTTAGAGTAATAGTGAAATTCAAAAGAGGATTATCTTTGGGAAGAGAGAGGAGTTCTGTTTTGGATATCCCTGAGCATGCCAACTAGAGCTCGGCAGAGAGAATAGGGCTAGATATATAGCTCTGGAGGTCATCTGTGTAGAGATGATATTTGAACTCATGGGAGCTAATGAAGTCACCAAATGAGAAAGTGAAGAGACAAGAGATGACCTAGGACAGAACTTTGGGATATAGCTGCAGTCCATGGGCACAACATGGATGATGAATTAGCAAAGGAGACAAAGAAGGAACCATCATAGGTAGGAAAAGAAGCAAGAAAGAAGTGTCATGAAAACCCGGTGAGGAGAGAGTGTCTAAGGTGAGATGGTTAATAGTGTCAAATTATGCATAGGTCAAGTAGGAGAAGGACTGAGAAAATGTCATTAGATTTGGCTTTTAAGAAATCACTGGTAACTTTGAAAAGAATAGTTTTAGTTCAGTGATGAGATCAGAAACCAGATTGTACAGAATCAAGAAGAGAATGATTGGAGATGAAGGAGTGGTACCAGGAGTATATGACCTTTTCAAACTGAGAAAGGGAGGAGAGGTAAAAGATGATAGCTAAATTCTATGGTTAGATGTAGGTAAGGTGTTTTGGGATTAGTGAGACTAATAAACTTAGTAGAGGTGTAAATTGGTCTAAACAGTCTGGAAATCCATTTGGAATTGTATCCAAATGAGACGAAAATGTACATACTCTTTGCTCCAGGGAACCCCTTGTTCGGCGGAACATGGCTTGAATATATATGCACATAATAATACACATGCTTATACACATTTGCATATATACATTTGTATACATACACACATTTATACATATATTTGCATATATGTGTGTTTTACACATGTATATACACATGCAGGACAACTGTGTTCTCTTTTACTATCGCTTGCTTTTTTCTTTTTTGAGGGAATTGGGGTTAAGTGACTTGCCCAGGGTTACTCAGCAAGTGTCTGAGGCCAGATTTGAACTCAGGTCCTCTTGACTTCAGGGCCTGTGCTCTATCCGCTGCACCACCTAGCTTCCTTTGGCTTGCTATTAAAGCTTAAATTTGCACTAAGACTTTTGAGACACCTCTGTGTATGTGACTGTGTGTATATAAGTATACATATACATATTATATACACACATATATAAGATCAGTGCTAGGAAAAGGGGGCAAGGAACTTGAGAGAACTGAGAATAGTGTAGGATTGACCTGGTTCACCAAAGAGTCAAGGTGGGAAAGATGGAGTACTAGTATAGATAGTTCAGGGGTAAAAGTCTGAAAAAGAAGTGAAAGGGGGCAGGAATGGAGGTTATGATAAGGTTGAAGAATAGTTAGGGATTATAAGGGAAAAGGAAAGATGGTATGATAAAAGATTATGATTAGATGAAGGAATTTCAGAGTTCAGGAGCAGGGAAATAGAACCCTTGTGGGTGATGGTAAGATCCAGGGTATTACGTTCATATGTGTATAGTGGGGTAGAGGAGTAAGTAATGGGAAATATATAAGGTGAGGAACTGGGAGATTAAGGTGCTTGAGGAATATCAACATGAATTTTGAAGTCCTTTATTATGAAGACAGGAATTGGGAGAGTAAAGAAAGACTGAAAGCTACCGCAAAATTGATTAGGTGATAAATATGGGTTTAATGAATGTCAAAAAGGAAATGGCATAATGGTGGTAGAGGGAGAATCTGCAGGTGGAGATGGGAGCAAGGAGTATTCCAACTCCTCCAAAATGACCAGCTCTGGGAATGGGGAGGGGATGAGTGAAAGTGAAATTAGTGCTGAAAAGGGGAAGGGGGGTGGTGAGGAAGCTGAATTATTAGGAAAGAATCAGGTTCAAAGAGTACACGAAAATAGAGTGGGAAAGGAAAAAGTGAAAGAAGAAAGGAAGTGTGTTACCTGTGGAGCAGGCATTCCTGGGAACTCAGTGGAAGGGGTGGATAGATTTTGAGTGGAATGTCAAGGGCATCAGAAATGGGAACAAGGGAGCAGGCAGTTGGGGATGGAAAATAGGTTAGAATAATCTTACTTTTAGTTCAGAATCACTGGAATGGGGAGAATATGATGAAGTGGGAGTATGTTAATTATCGAGGAATGACGTTAGGCAGGTTATCATCCTCCACGGAGCCAGACAATTGTAGTGAGGGTGGGTCAGGAATTCTAAGAGGTCCTTTCCATATTCTCACAGTCTCTGTGTGGTGCTCTAACTAAATAAGCAGGCTTATTTAGTTTGTCCTTTATCGCACAAAAATGACTAATCAAATATTCCATCCTCTTATCTCTTAGACTTTCTTCTCCTTGGTTCTTTTCCTACCACTGCTCAGCACCTGTTGAAATCTGCTTTTCTTTATTTAATTAGTATTAGAGAAGATAGATTGTGAACTCCTTCAGGACAGAGATTTTTGTTACTTCTCATTGTATGCCCAGCATTCAGC